TTTCTCCCTCGTCAAGCTGGCTTTTACCTCGCCGCCTTTACGTCCAACATCGCAGGTTGTCGACATCTACGATCGACTACGCTCTGCAAGCAGTGGGCCAGTCAACTCTACACCTTGAAGCCAAACAAGCCTGCAATAGCCCGTATCGGAAGTAGAACACGGAAAAATGCTCGTAGGGTGGTCCTTACTCGAAGATTTTGCCGCCAACGTTGAGCTTGGTCGTCTTGTGCGCCGCGGCAGCGTGGACCTCGAGCCGCCCTTTCTCGGTAGCCTCCGACGTGTGGAGCTCGCACAACCGCCAGAGTCGTGCCAACATCCGTGAAGACCTTGGTGATTTCCGCCATCTTGGCCAAGCCTTGCATCGCACTACACCCTTGCATATGCAAAACCTTTATCCCTTGGACCGACACCAACGTCCACCAAATGCGTCTTTTGACTGTACACGTGGTGAAGGCTAGCGTCGCCTCCACAAAGCGCTACGAGCCAACATCACAACGGTCGAAAATGGTGCAGAACAGAGTCTTGGATGATGGAGAATGATACGTGCTACGCCTCGATCAACGAGTCCATCTGGAGGTAGTTGAGAAGATGGTGGAGTTGCCGGAGGGCCGTGGGGGGGAGCCCCTTGGTGTTGAGCGAACCTTGGCGCAGCGCATCGAGAGCGTACTCGAAGTACGTGGCGTCTTGGTCGATAAAATAGGCGCCTAATGCGATATTTCGTGAGGACTAGAAACAGTGTACATGTTGTTTACCGTCGTCTTCGCGGGGGGTCCAGTGACCTTGGGAAAGCATGGCGCTAAAATACGAGTCGGGCAGCGTCAAGAGTGTTGCGCGACTCGTCTCAAAGAGGATGCCGCCAACGTTGAGGCGGATCGTGTCGTCGGCCACGGCCGCTTGCGCTTGCGTGAGCTTTTGAACTGTGTTGCGGCGTTGCTGGGCCACTCGCAGCGCCGCAACGTCGTCTTCAATGGTCGCTGCCGTGCGGAGGTACTCGTCCAGAACCACGTTCATGGCCAAGCGGCGCTGCTCTTCCTGCTGCCGGATCTTCTCGACAGCAACAGCAATCGTCGATGCCTCTGCCGTAGTTCGCGCATCTAGTCATGCCAGCTATAAACGAATGTGCATGCACTGGACACGTACTCGAGAAGCTCGAGTTGGGCGCCGCACTCGCTGCTGTCCCAAACGAAAAGCCCACGCCTGGGGTCGGGGCAGAACCAGACTCAAAGTCGTCACGCCGCATCTGGATGTTGCTATAAGGGTTGCTGCGCTTGGTACTGGGCGCTGGTGTACTCGTGCGACTGGAGGCGGAGCTGGCGCGGCGGGACGACCGCTTTGGCGAGCTCACCGACGGTTTGGGCTGGAGCACCCACTCCATGCCGAGCACCTGGAGCGTGTACGTGAGCTGACGCATCGCCGACTCGGAAAGTCCGTCGACGTCCAAGACGCCCGTGCGAAGGTACGCCATGACCCGGTCAAAGTACTTGTAGTTGCCATCGATAAAGTACGCGCCTAGCCACACCTTTTTCGCTGATACTTTGATATTTGAGGCAGTACCGTCCATATTACGGGGCTGCCACGTCTCGCTCGTCACCATCGCGTAAAAGAACGAATCAGGGTGCTGCAAGAGGTTGTCTTTGCCCGTCTCAAAGATGCGGCCACCGACGTTGAGCTTGATCGTGCGCGGTGCAGTCGTGGCAGCGGCGGTGGCCCGCGTCCGTTCGGCCTGCAGCTGCTCGTTGAGAAACCGGAGCTCGGTCAGTGACGCAATAAGGCTGGCTTCGATGCTACCGCATGCGTCGTGGATCTCACGGAGCGCGACGTCGTCGACGGCCAGTGCGTCACGCAGCCGCTCGATCGTCTTTTCGTGGCTCATGATGCTCAGCGACCGGTTCTCATGGACCGACGACCGCGGCGGCGGCGGCGCGCTCTTCATGTGCCCAACGTACCATTCGACAAAGTCGGCGCGCGAGATGCGGTCATCGACGCTGAGCTGCGTCGCCAGCGCACACAGCTCGGGTGCTGGAAGGACGATACCGGCGTTGGCGAGGAGGGTCGACAAGAGCAATCGCGCGACGTACGTCGGGCTCTTCTCGGGCGCGACCGCGTTGAAGATCGCAATCGCTTCGTTCGCCAGCATCTGTACTAGCGTGTCGTCATCGATAGCGGCAGGCGCCGAGTGGGATGTCTTGGCCCTTGGCGTGGACGCGGAGGGCCGAGTAGTGGCCTTGGACCCGGCACGGCTGCGGCGAGGTGCTGGCGACGTCGTGGACGCTGTCGCACCACTGAAAGGTGTCGTCGTGCCAAAGACGAACGGCGTCGATGGAGGCGTCGACGTACCAAAGGAAAAGATGCCGCTGCCACCAAGCCCCACCGCCGAGGCCGCTGCAGCCGGAGCTGGCGCCGCGCTACCGAAGGAGAAGAAACCACTGCCACCAAAGCCGGTCGCCGGTGTTGCCGCAGCTGCACCCCCAAACAAAAAGGGCGCTTCTGGCGTCGCTGGCGTTGCTGGTGTCGCTGGCGCAGGCGACGGGACATGCATCGCGACCGGGGCCTGGCCCGTCGTCACCGACGGTACACCGCCCAGCCTCGGCGCCGGCACCGCGCCTCCATCGAGCACAGGAAAGCGAAAGACCGGCGTTCGAGGCGACGGAGGCGACGGCTGGTCTGTGGTTATCGGCGTCTCGGGCGTCATCGGGCAAGTTGAAGCTGGTGATGCTCGCAAAGCCCGACTGGCCAGAACAACCGAGCTGCAACGCCCAGCGTACACTATTCCAATTCAATTGACAGATATAGTGTAATATTGAAGTCCCTCCAACGGCCCTGGAGAGCACGTGAGAAGCGTCACCTCTTCATAGTTGGGCGAAGATAGGATGCATATTGCAGGATTGTCCAGGGTTGCCACAACATCGGCGCGAAAGCAGCGAGAGGAGGTAGGAGCGCAACAGCACGCAGCGTTTGACACCATTTGCGTGCGACCAGATGTACACTATTCAACGCTTTGCTTGGCCGATCTTCCAAGGTTCTCGCATTCCGCAAGCAGACCATGGGCTACATTGGCGTCAGCGGGGCTCCGCTCATCCTCATGCTGGGCGACTCGATCACGGAGATCGCATCGGACCCCCGCCGCCAGGGCTTCCAGGCGCAGCTCATGGCCGACTACGTGCGCAAGGCCGACGTCGTGAACCGGGGCATCTCGGCATGGACGACCACGTACACTACCTGCCTGGCATGTCAATGGCTTCTCATACGCACGGTAGAAAGTGGCTGCGCGTGCTCCCCGACCTGATTGCCGAGTGGAAGAACAAGCAGCCGATGCTTGTCGTGATCTTCCTCGGCGCCAACGATGCGTCGCTGCCGGACGGTCCATCGCACGCCAGCTACGCGTCGATCGCCGACTACAAGGCCAACCTGCGCCGTCTGATCGCGTCCTTCAGCGACGCGTATCCGCAGTGCAAGTACCTCCTCTTGACGCCGCCGCCCGTCGACAACCGCGCGTGGAGTCCAGCCGATAAGCTCGACGCGGTCACGGCCATGTACGCAGCCGCCTGCATGGACGTCGCCGGCGAGCTCCAGATTCCAGCCATCGACTTTTACAGCGCAATGCATGGGCAATGGGATCTCTTTGGTGACGGCCTCCACTTCAACGCCAAGGGCATGGTACGTGCGCACGAGATGATCACGTCTGCGATCAAGCACGCGTACCCGCACATGACGCCCGACGCGCTGCCGTACGAATTTCAAATCTAATCGCACCAGATAATGTTTCTGCCAGATTGCAATACCACTACCAACCAGATTCAGACCGTGAAAGGTCATTATTGTTGAATCAGACTAGAATACAAACGGAAGAACGAGTCCTACTCGATGGGGTCGGACTTGTAGTAGAAAATCGCTTCGAGCTCGTGCATGTGGGCAAGCGTGTCGCTGCGGCCCATCTGGAACTGCTCGTACGCCCAGTCCGAGTTGGTCGAGACGAGCACCCAGTGCGGCCAGATCTCACGCCACGCGCGGATCTGGAACACGTGCGACGGGAACGCGTCGGCGTGGGGCACCGGCGCGTTGTTGGAGACGCTGCCGTCAATGTACTTTTGGCCGCGAAACTCCTTGACCCAGTTGGGGTGGTACAGCGGCACGTGGCCTGAGGTGAGCATGCAGTCGACCATGTCTTCGTTGCACGACCATGACGTAATGAGCTCGTTCTGGAGGCTCGGCACTTTGGTCACCGAGCAGTAGAAGCGCTTGTCGGCGATTTGATAGGCGTCCGGCGCCAGCGTCTGGAGCATGTGCTCCTTTGTGAGTGGGATCCACGATCCAAGGCCATGGTACGTCTTGCGCTTCGCGTCGCGGATGAGCGCCATGTTGGGCTCGTGGAAAAACGTTTTGACGTCGAGACCAAGCGCGAGCACGAGCGCGGGGAAGCACCCGGCCGACGACCCGGAAAAGATCGCCGACGAAAGGTCAAAGTGCTCCTACGCCACCGCCATGGCGCCTTGATTCATATCGTTGGCCGAGGTAGTACCTGCACGACAGAGGCGACACCAAGGAGGTAGTTGTAAAAGCCACCGCAGCCGCCAAAGCCGATCTGGACCGGCTCGCCACGCTTGTAGCTTGGCATGACCCGCGCTCGCTGGACAATTGGATGCTCAATGGGCGCGGCGCCATGGTCCTCTTCGTTGTCGTCGTCAGCAGGCGTCTCGTCCGCCGTCCAGAACATGTCGAGGCAGCCGGCGGACGGCAGGAGCGACGGGAGGCGACCTGCGAGGTGGCGCATGACCTTCCATACGCCAGTCGCTGACGACTCGTTGCGCTTGCGCTTGTTGGAGCGCGACGCTTCGGGCGCGTCGTCGCCGGTCCAGAGAGCGTTCATGGGCACAGCGGCGCGGGAACGTGGCAAGTGACTGCGAAGTGTCACCGGACTGCTGGTTCAAACTGCGCAAGGCCATTGGCCAAAATAGTCATGAATCCAGTCTCGTGACGTTCTTTTAACCAATCACATTCGTTGTCGACTTCAGCATCAGATCCGGCAGCCATTGGCCAGATGGTCGATTATGGCCAATCGTCGTCGGGCCTTGTGCTTAGTAATATATGCTCTCTAAAGTGCGAGATATTTTATCTCTATTTTTGTATATCCAACAAAATTCCAGTGGCGTTCTTAAGACAGCCCATCAACTTGGTCGCGCAAGCTGCAAGCGCTCGAGCCCGCTACGCCCGAGACCGGACCGGGTTACGATCGACCGCCGATGCTAGACGCTGGATACACAAGGAGCTATGAGAAGGCTCCGTACCAGTCTTTGATGTGGTTGGTAGCATCATGCTCGTGTTTTTACATCATTTTAGCCAATGGCATCGCGTTGTCGCTGGCGGTCCACGTGTGCAACACGCAAGGATCGTTGCGCGTTGCCGAGCTCACTTTTCTCCGAGCCCCTCGCCGCCTCCATCATGGACGCTCTCTGGACCGACGACAGCCGCCCGTCGCACAAGCGCAAGCGCGACGCCAGCGACGACGCCAACCCGGTCTGGAAGTACGTCGCTTCGACGCTCCAGGTACGGATGGGCTCTGATGCTACGGTACCATGCGCAGTTGACCCGATCGCATGTAGAAGCGCGTGCGTGTCCCGACCTATGTGCCGTTTGCGTCAACGCTCAATGCGTTCTGGGCCGGTGACAACGACGACAAGGAGGCGGTCGAGGAAGCGAGCGTCGAAGTCCCGCGCCCACTCGGCGTTCGCGTCGAGCCGACGCACGCCCGTGGCGCCACGGTGCAGATTGGTTTTGGCGGCTGTGGCGGCTTTTACAACTACCACTTGGGCATTGCGTCCGTCTTGCAGGTACCGCCTACGTCCTTGACACCACGCACGGACGCCTTGTTGCGTAGGAGCACTTTGACTTGACCAACTGTGTCTTCTCGGGCGCGTCGGCTGGCTGCTTTCCAGCGCTCGTGCTTGCGCTCGGCCGCGACGTCAAGTCATTCTTCTACGGCCCGAACCTCACGCTGGTCCAAGACGCGAATGAAAAGACATTTTACGGCCTTCGCGACTGGATTCCGCTCACGAAGGAGCATGTACTCAAGACGCTGGCGCCGGACGCGTACACGCGCGTCGACAACAAGTTTTTCGTGTCGATCACGCACGTCCCGAGCCTCGCGAACGAGCTCGTGACGACCTTTACGTCCAACGAAGACATGGTCGAGTGCATCCTTGCGTCCGGGCACGTGCCCATCTACACGAACGAAGTGCTCAAGCCGTACCGCGGGCAAAAGTACGTCGACGGCTGCGTCTCCAACAACTGGCCCGTCCCGCACGGCGACGACCACCCGTCGCACGTCTTTCAGATCTACCACTGGCGCACGATCTGGCCGCACTGGTGCCTCATCTCGACCAATACGGAGTGGGCGATAACGCAGTTCCAGTGGGGACGCGACGATGCGCTCGCTCATATACACGAGATTGAAGCGCTGCTCCACTACAAGACGCAGTAGACTCTCGTATCGTTGCATGTACTAGTACACGCGGTGTCGTATTCGGTTTTACTACATGTCCATGTAGCCGTTGGGCGTGAAGTCAATGACGCCCTGTGCACACACATCAGCGATCTTGGGAAGAGGAGGAAGCGTCGATTACCTGCTGGCTCAAGTCCAAGACGCGCGTCGTCATGTCCTCATCGAGCTCGCACTGCACGGCGATCGTGCGCGTGAGTGGCACGCCGCATGTGCACACCTTCTTGAGGTTGCCGCATGTGATGCACTTGTAGTTGGCGGGCTGGTACGGGCACACGTGGCCCTTCTTGGGCTCGCCGCAGCGCGAGCAGCGGTAGTTGCCGCGGTTGCGCTTGTCCGTCTCGGCGGTCGCCTCGTCGGCGCCTGGCATATTCATGCTACTATGCTACGACCGGCGAGTTGTGTGACGTGGGAGAGACGCAATCCTTGCAAATTGCTCGAATGGCGTTTCGAGCATTAAAAATATAAAAAAGCAATGCGGCAGTCCAGTCCATGACCAAGACGACCGTAAACAAGCGACACACAAAGTGCTAGCACTCCTCGTGTCGTCGTATTGGCAACGAGCAATGTTGCGTGCGGCGTACTGCGCTATGGAAGCGAGCCTAAGGCCTCGGTCTCGCTATCAAGCGCTTTTTAATGCTCGCACTTCGTGGCAAGCCACGGAGATTGTGCCCCGGGGTCCACGGCGTCATCCGCACTTAAGCGACCCGCTGTACTTGGCCAAAGCCAATATTGTCTCGACGCAAAACACTAGTTGAATTACTACTCCATAAATACAGCTCACTGGTTGTCGACATCTGCAATCCGGGGCTCGACTTCCAGAGACCGCGTAAAGCAAATGTCCTTGGTGGCGAGCTGCAGCGGCGCCGAGAGGTTGTCCTACCGCTGCGTGAGCCTCTCCTAATACTGTCGTCGTACCAAGAGCCGCTTGTCGGGGCTAAAGATGTACGGCGTCTTCTGGCACGGTACGACGAGCCGCACCACGTTGGCCGTCAGGCGGATCTGTCGAGGGTTAGGTACAGGTACATGCCTCCTCTCGCGTACCTTTTTGAAGTTGAGGAGGTCGTTCTGGACGCGGTCTGGGTACTCTTGCGCGACAACGTATTGCTGGATGATCAAGCCCAGGTACGGAATGGACGGCACAGCAACCTCTTTGATGAGCTTGTGCAGCGGCCTATATCAACATGAATGCCCGAGCGGCGTGAAAGAGCAACGAACCGAGCGCCCTTCTCGGTCCACTTTTTGAGCTCTTGCCACAGCGTGCGCACGGCCGGCGGCAAGCGGCCCCACGTCTTCTTCAAGCGAAACACTGACGAGTCGTTGAGCGCATTCATGATGGCCATGAAGCCGTCGTAGTTGCGCAGAGGACTGAGGCACTTGCCCGCGACCTAGACACCACATGTCAAGCATCGTTCTATACAGGTAGGATCATTGTACCTTGATGTAATAGCTGAGAATGGCGGCACGGTCGACAACGTCTTCACGCGCCAGAATCTGGTTGACGACCCAGAGCGAGCACTAGACACACGATTTCAAAACCACAGTTTTCAAATGCACATGGCGGTACGTGGTTGTGCAAAAGCCGGAGCTTGTCGTAAGCCGGTGTTGTCGCCGCCGAGCGCTTGGCACAGAGAAGCTCCGAAACTACAATGTACACTAGTGTCAGCACCTGTAACGACACAACGCAAGTCTGACTCGGAATTTTCTGGAAAAACCAGTGCTGGAGCAGCGTGATTTGGGATGCAACGAGACCCGGATCAATGTCGAGTTGCCTGCACAACCCAATCTCAGATCTCAGATCTCAGATCGTAGAACAGGACGTACCAGAGGCGCGCGACGCGGTCCAGGACCGAGAAGCGGCGCTTGGACGACGGTGCGACGACCAGCACCTTGCTTCCGCGGTTTGCCCCCGTCTCGGGGAGCACGCCAGCGATCGCGAGTCGCTCCCGCATCTTTTCGGCGAGGTCCGACGTCGATACCTTGGGCGCGCCGTTCGGCGCATCCAAGAAGGCCAACGTCGCGGTCGTCGTTTCAAAGTAGGTCGTGAGCGCGCTGTAGTCGCGGTCGCACGGCGCTGTGGTGGCAAACGTCGGGTCTTCGTTGTTGCACGCTTTGACAAAGGGCGCGATCTGGCGGTACGTGAGCCACTGCAGCACGAGCGGGTCGTTCTGGACGATCGCGGGCAAAAGCGCCTTGATGACGCTCGAGATCGCATGGCACAGCGGCCACGTCGACGGCATCTGGCTCTGCAGGTGGTTGACCCAAATGTCGAGCGTGTACAGTGCGACGCGGCGCGCAAACGACACGTTCGCTTCCGGTGCGTCAGCCACAAAGGTCTATCACGCCCAATTGATACCTTAATAGCTTGATACAAACCCACCTCGAGGAACCGCAAAATGTCATTGTAGTCGGTAAAGTGCGTGCCGGCCCAGAGAAAGCTCTCCATGTCGGTCGCATGAAACACGTCGTACTGCACGAGGTACGCGAGGATCGCGGGGACAGTTCCCGCTTGCAGCTCTTCCTTTCCGTCCGCCGTCGTCTCCACGATAAGGTCCGAGGCCGCGTCGCCAGTCATGACGAGTGCTGTCGAGGTCGGCGGGCTGCGACTGAGCTCGTCTCGCTTCAGATCCGTCTTGTCTGGGGAGGCACCTAAGGCATTGCATACCATCAAATTGCAGGTCCATCGATGATTCTTAGTTGGACCTCCGAGAAACGTCGGCTTGGGCTCGAGAAGGGACCCTTGGAACGAGAGGAGGAGGCTTCCGCGCTCGAGGCGGCCGGGTGCGATCGCGGTCGGCAACGTCGCGGCCGCTTGGCTCGCAATCTCAAAGTACATGGCGGCCGTCTTGCCCGTGATATCGGGCGCGTAAATATCAACTTCCGAGTAGCTCTTGAGAAAGTGGTAGACGTCCGACCCGCCGTAGATAGCGGCGTAGTGGATCGGCTGGCGGTACATGTTGCAGACATCGCGAACGTTGGCGCGCTCGCTCAGGAGGAGGCGCACCGTGTCGAGGACGGCGGCCGTGTCCTTCTGCACGTACCCGCGTGTGACGAGCTGGCCGCGCGCGACCGCCATCATGAGTGGCGTCCAGCCGTCGGTCGAGCGCGCGTTCACGTCGGCTTTGCCTTCCGACAAGAGCACGCCGCAGGTCGTGAGGCAAGCAATGCTGGCCGCAAAGTGCAAGGGCGTCTCGCCACGGAGCGAGCGCAGCTCCGTCTCGGCGCCATAGTCAAGGAGCGCTGTCGTGACTTCAGTCTGCCCTTCTTGCGCAGCGCACGCGAGCGCGCAGCAGCCGCGCTGCCAGTTGCGCGAGTTGATGTTGAGCTGCTTCCCGACCTCGACGAGCGTGTCGACGCCCTCGAGACAGCCTTTGTGGGCCAGCAGCATGAGCGGCGTAAAGCCAAAGTGGTCGACTTCATCGATGGCGGCGCCGTGACGCACGAGCTTGAGGATGATCTGCCGGACTTTGTCTGGGCTCATGGACGCGACTTTGATGCTCACTTCTTGGGACGGACCGTCAATGAGCGCGCAGGGGGCGCCGAGCAGGTGCAGCGGGCCGCGCCCGTGGGGGCTCAGCACCTTGGTCTTGGCGCCGTGTTGGAGCAGGTACGACACCACGTTGACATGGAGGCAGCTCACGGCGATGTGCAGCGGCGTCGTGTCGTCGTCCGAGACGTAGTTGACTTCAGCGCCGTTGGCCAAGAGCATTTGGACGCTACCGACCGCGCCGCGCTGGCACGCCTGCATGAGCGCGACGTTCCAGAGCGACTTGTTGGTGCCGAGGATCTTGACATAGTTCGGGTTCGAGATGAACGCCAAGTGAAAAGGCGGCGCCGACGCATTGAGGAGCCCGACCACGTCGTTAAAGGGCCTACAAAATATACATAAAAATCACAAAAATTTCCTCGGTGAGGGAGATACCAGAGCACGACGTTGGTGCCGTTGAGCGACACGAGCACGTGGCCTTTCGAGACGAGGCCGCCAAACGCCGCTTGGCCGTGGGCCGTGATGTTCTTGACCATGGCGCCGCAGCGGTACGTCGACTCGGGCTCAAACCCGAGCCCCATGCGCCAATCCCCGTCCATCGAAAAGGCGACTTGCTCCTTGAAAATGTCTTCGAGGACCGCAGGAATCGTCACGTTCTGGACAAAGTCCATGGCAGCGCCAAGGATCGCCATGGCCGACGCCGAGTGCACGTGCGTAAACCGGTTCTCGATGTGCATCTCGTGGAGCAGGTGCTTGAGCAAGAGAAGGTTCTCAAGCCCGGAATTGACGAGCACAAAGGTGAAGATCGGGATCAAGTCGTCCGTGTCAAGCCGGTTGGTAATGCCCGGCACGAGCGCGTTGAAGCCGCTTCCGTCGGCGCTCGTGGCCGCTTGGTACATGAACTCGGGCGCTGGATGGTCGTCTTGGTACGACGCTTGGATCTCGACGACTGACTCGACCACCGCGTGGTACTTGTCGGACGGCAGCGAGTACGTTGCGACTTGGCCGAGGATGCGCGAGGCCTCTCGCCACTCGGTGGTCGAGAGCTGGTGCTGCGGAATGTCGTAGAATGCTTGGTCTTTGCCTTGGAGCCAGCGCAATTTCTTGTTGAGCGCCGCCTCGTGCTCGGCCTTGACACTCCGGCGCAAATGACTGTAGAGCCCGTCATGGAGCGGAAGAAACACGACTTCTTCGACGTGGCGGTGGATGCAGTGGTGCACCGACTCGAGCGCGTCGGCCTCCGACTCAAAGTGGTCGAGCACGAGCGCCACGAGGCCGTGGGCGTACTTCTGGATCACGGTTGTGCGCATGCTTGCGATAAAGTCACGCAGCGCGCTGAACGCGAGCGACGACCGCGCGTCAAAGTGCTTGACAAACGCCATGCACTTGCTCGCCTCGGGGTTCTTTGGGTCGCTCTACAGCAATATGGTTGCATGTGAGCGCGCAATAGGCAAGCGAGACGTGCGTACGAGAATTTTGCGCAGCTCGACGGCCACCTTGGCGTCCGGATCGTCGTCGAGAAGCAAGCCGGACGAGAGGCGCAGCGGCGCGTGGTTTTGGCTCGGTGTCGACGACGGGTGGTTGGCTGCAATGACGTCCTGCAAATGCACGACCCAGCGGTTGCACTCCTCGTCGTCCTTAGCTTGGCACACGAGGACGTTGAAGCCTTTTACGAGCTCGAAGCAGTGCGGACGCTTGGACTTGCGGATGTCGAGGAAGCGCACGGACGTGCTGGCGTCGTCGAGTGCGATCTCGCCCTTGAGTCGCCCAAAGCGGTGGCTTTTGTAGTACTGGAGGCACGAGAATGGCTCACCCGTGACCGGGTTGCTCTTCATGAGCAGGACAAAGAAGCGCTTCTTCCAGCTTTTCCAGATGTTGCCTTGCTTGACGAGCCAGCCCGAGTGGATGAGGTTTCCCGTGCGCGATGGCGAGCTCGAGGTAAGCGTCGACTGCGACTGCGCGCGCGGGAGGCGTGTACTGCTGCCATGGCGTAGCATGCGTGGTGGTGGTGGCGGCTCCAGAATGACGTCGTCAACCGAGTCGTCGTCGTCCATGTCGCTGTCCTCCATGACGTAGATGGCGGTCCGCGACGTCATGAGCGCCGACGGCGTCGGAACGCTCATGAGGCTCAGGCGCGAGTGATCGACGTCCAAGCTCAGCCGCGCGTCCGCGCTCTCCTGACGAAAGAGCATGCGGATGTCTCCGCGGTACGGGCCCGACGAAGGAGGCGTCTCGCTCATCGCTCGCTCGCGCAGAAATGCAGAATTAGCTTGAAAATTTCGTATTTGGTTCCAGCTGGCGGTCGGCTATTTGCACGCAAATACTTCCTCCCACATCTTGCACAACGTCCAGTGGGCAGCATCCAGCGCGCAACAGATTGCGTCCAAACAGTGCTCTGGCCGGGCGCTAGGTTGCACATGCTTCCAAACGTTGCGCGCGCGCACGAACGAACGTTGGCTTCGGAACGCGGCGGTAGCAGTTGCGTGTTTTTGGTCCACCGAATTATAAAGACAGTGTCAAAGTTGCACCGTACATTGAGTCACCCTCGTCGTCATCGTCACGACCGTCTCCCTGCGATGGCGCTCGTAGCAGCAAGCAAGGCACGGCCGCCTATAGGTCTACGCGCAAGCTGCTGCGCTCGTGACGATGCGCTGCTTGTCAGACGAAAAGCAGCCAGCCACGTTGGCACTGCAACAAACGGCGGGTCGTCGAGTAGCTTTGCGCACCGGCTGCAACCGTGATACCATAGCCCATCAGTGCAATCTGCAGCAGTCGCCTCCATGCGCGCGGCCGTCGCCATCGTTGGCGGTGGCCATTCGTTCGTAAGTTCAATGAGCGGTGCCATCTGAGTCGTCGTGGCACTTGCCACAGAGCGGCCGCGCGCACGACTCAAAGTTGAGCGACCCGCTTCTTCTAGATGGGTGGGCCGTGTTCCACTGCTTCTGCGTATGCTTGGTCGAGCAAGGCAGCGTGGACGCGCCCATGGCGTTGTCCGGAGCTGTGCGAATGGACACCACCCTTTTTGTCACCACATTACGTGGCGGTTTCTGCGGTGGCCACGATCTTGTTGGAGACGAAAGGCCGTACCAGTATGGACGAGCACGAGGTGCCCGAGAACCAAGCCGACGATGGCGAGCGCGACGCTGGCAACGAATACGACGAGGACGGCCGCGAGACGGTCGGGTCCTTGGCCACGACGCAGACCAAGATCAAACTCAACAAGATGATGAACGCGTTCGCGTCGTTTGACGACAACATGCGCATTGGCACGCGCGTACTGCACTGCACCCGGCGACGTGGATCTTATCGCTTCGTGTAGCAACGGCGGGAGCGGGACGAGCACCGGCTCGCCGAGATGCGCGCCGAGATGACGCGGCTTGAGAAGGCGCTCAACGCCGAAATCAAGCGCCGCTTTGAAATGAACAAGTCGCTCCAAGCGCTCTGCGACGAGAGCGTTGCGAATATGACGTCGCGCTTCGAGAGCCTCCTCGCCGACTCGATGGACAAGGTCGACGCGCGCCTCGCCGGCCTCGCCGAGAAGATCCAGGCGCTCGAGGCGCAGTTCGAATATGAAAAAGTCCACATTCCGCAGGTACTCGCGTCAACGCTATGCCTTGTCTGGAGGAGACATGCATGTAGATGATTGAAGAGCGCACGAACGAGCTCACGGAGAAGCTGAGCGCGTTCATGGACGCGTTCGAGACCGAGCGCAAGCGGCGACTCGACCGCGAAGCCGAGATCCTCAAGCGACTTTTTGACCACGAGCAGCTCGTGGCCGACCAGTTCAGCAAGGAACGCCGGGACCGCGAAGTCAAAGCCACGGAGCTCAAGGACGCCCTCGACATGTACACGAAAACGCGGCTGCGTGGCGACGACAAGTTTCAGCGCGTCGCGCAGGAAGAAATCGCCAAAATCCAAAACGCCCTTGTGCACGAAGCCCAGGTAATCACGGTCTTCGGACAACACCGTATGTACCTCGAGGTAGACGCGCGAGCGCGAAGACGACGAGATCATCGACGCGCTCAATCGGTACACGGCCAAGCTCCAAGACAGCCTCAAGCTCATCAACAGCACCGAAGCCTAACCCTTCTCAATGGCATTCAATGTACAAGCCGCGTCTGTATCTACGCATGCTCAAAAGAGGCGGCGTCCCTTGGCCGCGGTGCCCCGGGGCGTCGCGGCGTCCGTGACCTCGTCTTCGACAAACGACGTCGCACGCCGCTTGCGGTTGGCGCGCTCGGGCGGTGTCACGAGCGGGAGCAAGTTGGCATCGAGCGGCAGCGGTGCCTCGGTAAAGTAAGCGTGCGCCAGCGCAGCCGACGCCGAGATACGCCGCGTCGGGTCGAGCGTCACGAGCTGCGTAAGGAGGTCGACGCCCGCGGAAGACAGCGACGGAAACTGGGCAGCGAGCGACGGCGGCGACGTCGGTGCAAATTCGAGGTAGAACGGTAGCGAGGTCGCCGCCTACGACAGCACTATGAGCATTGGAATGCTGTATCGACGTACAGTCCACTTGTTTTCGATGGGATTGCCGAGCGCCTTGAACATGAGACTGAGCTGGTCAATGTCGGACGCACCGTCGAGCCAGACGCGGCGCAAGACGAGCTCGGCAAAGACGCAGCCCGCCGACCACATATCGACAGCATCCGTGTACGTTTTGAGGCCAAAGAGCAGCTCGGGCGGCCGGTACGCGCGCGTGACGACCTGAAAGCTCTTCTCGAGCGACGCGTCCGGGGCGTAAATGGCCATGCCAAAGTCGGCGAGCATGACATTCCCGGTGGGCGACAGCAAGACGTTGTTGGGCTTGATGTCGCGATGGATGACGTGGCGCTTATGGCACTCGGCGAGGCCTTGCAGCACCATGTACATGTAGCTCTTGATCGTGGCCGTCGAGAGCTGCGGCAGATCGTCCGTGGCCTTGATCACCGACTCGAGGTCGCTCTCCATGTATTCAAAGACAAGGAACGTAGCCTCCTCGCCACGGTGCGCCTGGCGCACCACTTCCTTGATCTGCAGCACGTGGCGCGCCGTCGTCAGCCGTGCCATAATCGTCGGCTCGTCGTCATGGGACGACGTGGTTGGTGAGCCAAAGAGTCGCTTCACCGCGACCTTCTCGCGCGTCTCGACGTGCGTCGCTGCGTAGACCTTGCCGTACGTCCCGCGTCCGATCTCTTCGCCGAGCTCGTACTTGCCGACGACGATGCGCTCGTCCTCCGAGTCCGAGTCGAACTCGCCCATGCTGGTGTATCGATTTCTGGATCGGTCGCAGCCTCCGGTTACAGATAGGTTTACCGGATTATTCGTATTCGGCATATGCCACATGAAACAGAGTGCACGCGGCATCGCATTACGGCCCGCTTTTGAAGGCGGCCGAGAAGCCGACACTGGCCGAGAGCAGGCAAGGAGGGCTCAATGAACGTGCTGAGCAATCGTGCTGCTTTGGCGCTTGGCCCGTCAATAGAGATAAAGAGCAGCGATATCAACCGCCAACACCAATGTGGAAGTTTGAAGTTGGCAACTTGAAGTTATAAACTAAAATTAAAAGCTGTGGCCGAAGCGAGGCTTCCATACTTCCTAGTGTGATCGAATTGGCCAGTTGCTGCGTTGTTCACTTGCTTGTCAATCCATAGAGCCCCTCATCATATCGACTACAAGCCTTTCGCAGCTTGCAGCTCATAGCATCGCTACTAGCAGTTGTGTCACCAGCCCATGAACCAGGTGTACCTACAATCTTTGGCCGTCGACGCCGCAGTGGTTTAACGCTAAATACTCGTATCTACACAGCTCTTGAAAGTCGGGACAAAGGTCAATCTTCCCGCAAGATAGACCGAGAAACCGTTAGGATGGACAGGAGTGTGTGGCTTGGGCTTCAGTAGCCAGTGAGCCGCAGTTACCTATTTGCCTCTTAGTACGCACATCGGTGTTTAGGAGGTGTACTCCCGAACATTGGGAGGCCTAGAGGCAACACCTTAACGTTATTGGAACAAATGATTCGACTCAAATGACGGAGTGTTCGCAAGGGTCAGTAACCACTTGGTGTTTGTCGATCGAATATCGTAAAATATCCAATCGAAAGTTGTATTATGGATGATGAAATAGCGCTTCTTAGCGTTTCTGGTGGTTGATAAAGCGCAGCGCGAGATACGCAAGCAGTCGGAAAAACACAATGCAGCCGAGCACGACGACAATGTCGAGGAGCGCGTCGTCGTAGTACATCTCGTACGTGTGTTCCACGTACTGCTTGACAGTCACACTCGTCGCGTTCATTTTCAGCAGCAAAATTGGCGGCACGTTCTTCATCGTTTGGCACCCGAGCTGCGTCGGGTCGTCACCGTTGCATTTCGCAAACGTCTGCGACGTCAGAATCGCCATCGAGTACTTGGGCGGCACGATCGTGTACAGCCAGCGGTACCCCATCGGGATCTGCGACGCGGTCGGCGTAAAGCCCATGAAGAGGAAGAAGATCGAGTTGAGGAGGATGCCGACAAGCGCCGCGACCTCGACCGACGGCATCGCATATGCCATCAACTGGCCCATGTAGACGTTCATCAAGACCATGAGCGAGAGGTTGAAGCCGTAAAAGAGGCAGGCGCCGACCGATTCTTTGAGCCCGACGAACGGGTAGTAGACGATCACAAAGGCAAAGGTGCACACGACCACGTACGGGAGCTCGGCGAGCGTCGACCCGACAAAGTACCAGAGCGCGTCGTACGTCTCGGACGCGCGCTCGCGGTAGAAGGACGCGCGCTCGGTGCCCGCAAGCGGAATGACGCTGTTGAACGAGATCATGCCGACAAAGAGCGACGTGAGGAAGACCATGCCGACACCGCCGGTCGCGCCCGAGAACGTCGTGTAGTCGACCCCGCGGTAGACCAACCCAAAGAGGACTGCGAGGAAGATTGAGATGAGAATGCGCGTGTTGTTGTACGACGCTATGCGCCAGTACATGCGGAAGAAGCGCTGCGTCACCATCGTAAATTGCGTCATCGATGTCGCCGCACGCTTGGAGCTAAATTTGAGCTCGGGCAGCGACGGACTAACGACAGCATGGACCGCAAGCGAATCGAGAAGCGCTTGGCGCTCGGCCGAGCTGTGGAAAATCTGCACATAATCCTTCGGGTGCGCGTTCTTGGCCTCGACGCCGGCGCCAATGACTTCGAGCATCCACGTGGCGGGGTTGGCACCTTCGAGGAGCGGCGGCGTGTCGGGCACTCGACTAAAGTACTCGATCAAGTGACTCGCATGAGGTCCAAGCTCGCCGAAAAAGACTGTGTGGCCGCCGCGTTTGAGGAGGAGGAGCGAGTCAAACATCTCAAAGACCTCGGTGGACGGCTGGTGGATCGTGCAAACGACCGTGCGACCTGTCGACGCGATCTTGCGGATACCCGTCATGATGATCTTGGCCGAGCGCGCGTCGAGACCCGACGTCGGCTCATCCAAGAAGAGCACGGATGGCGCCGCCGCGAGCTCGACACCGATCGTCAAGCGCTTCATCTGCTCGACGGACGCGCCGCGAATGATCTTGTCACCGAGGGCCTGCATACCGAGAAGCTCCAGACATTCTTCGGCAAATGCCATTTTCTTGGTCACTGACGTGGCACTCGCCTGGCGCAGCATCGCACTGAATTGAAACGCCTCGCGAAACGTGGCACTCTCACAGTGAATATCCATCTGCTCGCAGTAGCCAGTCGCGCGACGCACCGCAAGGTCCGTGGCGGGGTACCCGTTGAGCAGAATGTCACCCGTGATCGTGCCGCCCGTTTTGCGACCCGCAATGACGTCCATTAAGGTCGTCTTGCCGGCGCCCGACGAGCCCATGAGTGCTGTGATCGTACCCGGCAGCGCAATTCCGTTGACATTCTGTAGCAGCTTCAGATCGGGCTCACCCTTCGTTGGGTTGGGCACCGAATATGAAAGGTCTTTGAAGGCCAGTGTGACAGGGGCGATTGACCCCCGGGGGCTGTCGTCGACGCGCACTGAGACGGCGTGTGTTGGTGTCTTGGGCACCGCCGTGTACGTATCGTTGGTCTCTGGCTCCAGCACGATCGGAGCATGCTCGGCGCTGTCGTACTGTACGTACTCGAGCGTCACATAGGCCAAGAGCATAAAGAAGACGTAGCAAAATGCGAGGTAGATCACGGCATACCAGACCCAGATCATGCCAGATTTGACGCCGTACTGCTTGAGCTGCGCATTGCCAAACGTGTCGCCAAGAATGCTACAGTAGTCGATGCCCTTGTACTTGCAGACTTGAAACTCGGGCGCCGAGTACTGGTTGATGGCCAACGCGCGAATGCACCACGCGAGCGGATCGATCCAGTAGATCCAGATAAAGTACGGGGGCATGTCATCCGCCGACATGATAAAGCCCGCAAAGAGCACAAAGAGCAGCACCGACACCATTGCAACGGGCTGCGCAACGTTGGGATTCGGCGACAGCGACGCGACAAAGAAGAACCACGTCGTGAACGCGAGGTTGGTCACGAAGAGCAGGAGGAGGTACGTCAGGAACGACGCGGCATTCGAGGTGAAGCCCGTGACCCAGTACATGACCGAGCCAAAGAGGATCGTCTCCAGGAACGCAAACGGTACTTGGGTCGTGCACTGCGCTAAAATGAACGACGAGGTCCGGAAAAAGTTGGCGCGCTTTTGCTTGTAAAAGATCTCGCGCGCTTCGACGTGGCCCGGGATCGCGGGCAGTTGGCCGAGCGCGAGGAACATGACGGTCGTAAAGATGACACCAAGCACGGTGATGATCTGGTCGGCATCGACTTGGTAGAACGACGTCGAGTAGAGGAAGCCCATGAGCAGCACCATGACCATGCGACTCAGGACAAACTCCTTGTTGCGGAGAAAGACCGTCACTTGGCGCTTCACGAGGAGCTGCGTGCTTTTCCCAAACGAGCCAAAGTACGCGGGCAGCAACGCGAGGTGGTGCGTCACGTCGTGTGCGAGCGCGGGGTTCGTCGCCGTCGAGTTGACGTATTCCAACATGTTCGCATAGATGGCCGACGCTTCAAAGACCGCTGCGTACTCGCTCGGGAGGCGCGGGATGGAGAGATCCGCCGCCGCAATTCGGTACTGGTCCTGCTGCGGCGTACCAAGGTCGAGCAAAAAATCAGCGACATCGCGGTGCAAAGGGCACTTGAAGCCGAGCGACTCGAAGTACTCCAAGCACGTGGCGCGCGGACCGTGGTACATGACGTAGCCTTCGTTGAGGAGGAGGACCTCGTCAAAGAGGCCGTAGACTTCGGGCGACGGCTGCAAAAGCGCAATCACAATCGTCTTGCGGAGCGACGTGGCCATACCTTTCTGCGCCTTGACAATGTCGTACGTCGCTGCAGCGTCCAAGCCCGTACTGATCTCGTCCATGAACGACACCTGCTTCATGCCAAACTCCATCTCGCCGACCGTCACACGCTTGCGCTCACCGCCCGAAACACCGCGGAGCATGCCGTTGCCAACGATCGTGTCTTCACAGATCTTGAGGCCCATCTGACGCGTCACGACGTCCGGAAAGACCGCGTAGAGCGACGTTAACACGGATTGCGCCGCCGTGACGGCATTGGGTGGCCCTTTGGTCAGCGCCGACGCCACATGCGGCGGCACGCGTGCGCCGCCGCTGCACGCGTGCGCAAAGGCAAGCGTCTCCTTGACGGTGAGCGTCGCGTAGTGGTAGTCGCGCTGGTGCACGTACGACGCAAACTGAGGCACTTTGGCTCGGAGCGCTTCGAGGGGCGAGCCGTTGTACGTGATTTGGCCGCCGACGGTGATGTTTTTGGCCATGAGAAACTGGGCACTCAATAGCTTCATGAGCGACGACTTGCCCGAACCGGGCTGGCCAAGCAAGAGCGTCGTCGTGCGCGGCTTGAAGACACCAGTCATCGGGTGCAGCACGTCCTTCCGGATCGACCGCTTAGCCGCAAAGAGGCCACGCACCGCCTTCTTGAGCTCGTTCACGAGGGTCGGGAGATCGGGTCCGTCCTTGGCCGCGACGACCATTTCGGCACAAATCGAGAGATTGTGGAACCGAACCTCGACCTGCGGCAGCGGCTTGTCCATCGCGGCTTCAAGCTGCGCCGCGAGGGTCGCATGGAAGGCGTCCGAGCCCTGCGCAAGAAACGAGTCAGCTGTCGCCATGGGAGATCAACCAAAAGTGGGCATCTCCCCAGCACAAAAAGGCCCAAGATTCTACCAACGGAACGGTTTAGCATGGCGGGTATTACTCGTCGGTTGCTTTGCGCACCCGATTAGATCATGTTGGAGGCGCCGTCGACATTGTGCTGTTTGATTGGTCAAATATCCGGCATTTGACCGGATATACAGGAATGAATGTGATTCCGCGGGAAGGCCAACAGCTCGCTCGGTCGCTCCTCGTCGGTCGTAGCATGCAGGTACTACACGAGGTGAATATACTTGACTCTCCGTTATACCAAGTAGCCCCTCTCGTGGCCGTCCACGTCGTCGCCTCGTGTTATTCCGGCGCGCGTTTGGCCTTGCAGAATCGTTTGACGACGGTTCGCGCCATTGCCCACAATCTGAAACCGCCTGATGATGGCATTCTCCAGCCCCATCATTGTGCCCTTCCTCTTTGTTTTTGTATTGGTCTTGAGAAGCTTACCGAGATAGGGTATGGATTATGCAACCTCGGGTTTCCATCCTTGCGTCGCCGTCGTTTCGATTTCCATTGGTGGTCGAGGGGGCATATAATATCTTACTAGTATGCCCTAGGCGGTATTCTTAGTTAATATAATATCTTATGCCCTAGGCGGTGCTCTTAGTTATAAATGATATATCGGCCACGGTTGCGCTAGCATCGCCGTTGCGGGCGAGATGAAAAGCCCACTCGACTCTGGTGCGTGGAGGAGCAAGGATCAGGATGTGGCATTTGCCGAATTTAAAACCGGCCACGTCTTTTGCCGTAAACGTGGCATATGCCACGTATTGCCATTTCGCATCACATGGCCGGCTTCCTTCGACCGCTCATGGTCGCGCTCCTTGCGCTCGCCGTCGCCTGCATGGCCTTCGGCCAGGAGACGCTGCATGAAGTCGACTTTCTCGAAGACTACTTCTACGTGGAGGACATCGACGTCGGCGTCCAGACTGCGCCCGTGCCGGAAGGCCTTCCCGCCGGACGCATCGAGCTCGACCACGACCACCTTCAGCCGTACATGGACCTCATCGTGAGCGCAAAGCGAACGCGCCACGTACTCGTCTTTCTCTCGACCTCGCATGAGGCCCGCGACTCATTCTCGCGCGCGGTCCGGGCGCTCCAGCATCGCGACGAGGTCGACATGTACTTCTTCGCCGTGCCCCTCGTGGCGTCGGATGATGCGTTCGAGATCACGTTCAAGGACGCCCACAAGCTCTCGTCGATCCCGGACGATGGGCTCCACATTCTCGCTACCTTTGAGCCCAATGCACGCTACGGCCTCCAGATTGGCCGCGAGAACGCGCGGCTCGTCGACCCGTCCGTGCTGACGCCGAGTACGTGGACCGAGAAGTTATCGGGTATGGTGCAAGAGATGCTGGCGCCGCCCGTCGTGGTCAAGCCCTCCGACTCCTCACTCTCGTCGCTTTTCGTGTACGGCGCCTTGGCGTACCTCGTCTTTGTCCTCCTCCCGCGCATGTACGCGAACCGCGCGTCGATCCTTCCGGTCGTCACGAGCCGTTCGACGTGGTTCCTCGTCTGCGCGTTCGTCATGTACCTCTCTCTCTCGGGTACGCCTCTCCCGTTGTCTCCAACCGAGCGCATCCTGCTGCGTCCTAGGCACCTTCTTCACCATCATCCACGGCTCCCCCCTCTTCTACTTCAATTCAAATGGTATATTCTACCGCTGCCGCATCGGATCTTCCTCATCCTCATGGTAGGCTTCTCGCTCATGCACCCGTCGTCGCAGCGGCAGTTTGCGCTCGAGGGCTGGACGCTCGGTGGCATGCCCCTCGCGGTCTCGCTCGTGCTCGTCGCGGTCTCGGAGGCCATGCCGTTCATCCTCGGGCCCGACAATCGGTTCCACGCAGCGACGGTCCTCCTCCTCGCGTTTGCGTTGCTCTGCTTTTTCGAGCACGTGCTCTTTACGACCAAGAACCGCTGGTACCGCCTCTTCTAAGCCGCGTTGGAGTACTTAGGTCTCCATGGCCTTTTGCTGCGCTTCGACAATCTTCTCCATAAAGGCGTTGACCGCGTCGAGCTTTTCTTGGCAAATGTTGTGCACTTGGTCGCAGTACGCGATCGCGTCGGCCGAGCTCGCGAGCGCCGACGACTTTTGGAACACGTCGAGGTGGTCCATCTCGACGTTGAGGTTGAGAAACATAAAGTCGAGGAACCCGCGCTGCGCGTCGAGCACCGAGTCGAGGAGCTTCTTGAGCGGCGGGTCGTTCTCGGTGTCGGGGACGCCCATCATCGCCGCCGCTTCCGCGTCTGGCTCGGTCGCCTCGCCTAGCGTGTGCTCGGACGCCTCGCCAAAGCTGCTGCGCGCCACGTCGCCGCCGTCATACGACATGTGGCGCTTGGTCAAAAAGACCTAATGGCACGGGTACTGAGCTCAACGAGGTTGATGACAATCTGTCCTAATATGGGTCGAACCTGCGTCGGGCGCACAAACACGCCATGCTTGTCTTCGCAGCGGAAGTAGTACTCGCCCTTGATGCTCCCGTCATTCTTGCCCGACGGCGTGTCGAGTTCGACACCGAGCCAGAGTCCTTGGAACCCAATGACGTCCCCTGCCCAATGCACTCGGTTGTACGAAGCTCTCTTGAGTATATATGTAAGGGTACCGATGAAGCGAACCGTGCCAAAGAGCTCCTTCTCTGAGATGCAGACGCGGTCGCCGACGTCGACGTCGCGCTCGTCACTCGTGTCATGGCCAATGCTCTCGACTTTGTCTTCAAACTCTGTGTTTTCATCGATCGAGTTGCTCTATTCTCGGTGAAAATGAGGATAAGGACGCGGACGAAGAGGACGTACGGCCGAGTAGGCCATGGCGGGCATGGCGTCGACGAGCGGGAGCGACTCGAGGCGCCGCTGGATCTTGGGATCGAGCGCGTTGAAGAGCAAAATCGCGCGCTTCGAGAACTTTTGCGTGAAGCGCTGGTAGAGGATATGCGCATGCGCGCGCACGGACGACGACGCGTCTTGGAGACCGGCCTTGAGCCCGACCTCGATCTGCGTCACGTCGTTCTTGTCAAGGACCGCGCTCCAGTGCACGAGCACGAGCGCGAGGAGGCTGACGCAGGCCTCGCGGATGTTCTTGTTGCGGCTCTCGGTCACCATTTCGACAAAGTAGCGCAAGGTCGGGCCTTTGGTCACGACGTTGGCGACGAGAAAGTCAGCGCACTCGCCGCAGTACGTGCCGCAGACCTTGTTTCCACCACCGCGCACGTCGATAAGCACGGGCAGAAGCTCGCGGGCCAGTGGCGCCATCGAGTCGCGCGAGACCTACGTGAGGATAGGACGCTTCTTGTTTTTATCTCGAGGTGACGTACGCGGGCGATGATGGCGAGGATCGTGCAGACGGCTTTGACCATCTGCGAGCGCAGATCTGTAATGACGTCTTTGAGCGGCTTGAGGAGCCGCCACGCTTCGGGCGGCACGGTCATCGTGGCCGTCCCGATCGTCACGAAGAGGTCCTGGATGTCCTGGAGCGCTGCCTGGCGCTTCTGCCAGTCGTCCGGGTGCTTCTTGATCGTCTCCATGGCCGTGGCGACGCCATTAACAAACTAGGATGAGGCCAAGATGAGGCCACGCGCAGGGACGATCTCGGCGCCTACGCTCGTCGCGCTCATGCTGCGGGAACTGGCGACGAGCAAAACACCTCGTCCGGATAAATGACATGGTTTCGGGAAAAACGCATATCTTTTGACACGCAATTTTGTGATTTTACACTTTGAGTGTGGAAGCTCGACATCAATAGCCGCACCAGGTCAATGCTGGGTGCGTGAGGCACTGGGCGACAGTCCACCCGCTGTAGCATGCGCGCGTCGGTGGGTAGTAGCAGTTGGTGCATGCGCCGCAGAGCTGCTAGGGGGCAGAGGGCGTCTTGCCGCACCGCACCACGTGTACGCAGCGTTGGCAACGCACTGCGTTTGCGTCCACCCTGCAAAGCACGATTGCGCGTAATAGCAGTTGGTGCACGTGCCACAGCCAATCACTGGAGTGTTATTGCTTGGTGCTGGTGTGATGGGTGCAGCTGACGTTGGTGCGGCGGTTGACGATGCGGGTGAAATCGAGGGAATGGACGACGCATGTGTTGGCGCCACTGAAGGCCTGCCCAAACCGTCCAGTGCTTGGCGCGCTGCCTTGGAGAAGACGTAGCCGTCGTGGCTGTCCCAGTTGATGCTCCACGTCATGACACCACGGTACGTCGGGTACGTCGTATTGGGCTGAATCGTGTCGCAGCCGACGCCTTGCGCGAGGCATGTCAACGCCCGCTTGACAGTCTCTGGCGTCACAAAGCCCCGGCCTGCCGACGACGGGCCCGACGGAACACCGAACGAAACCTGGTCCGGACGCAGACCGTTGAACTTCCAGCCAGCGCCATAGTTGGTCTGGAACCCCTCGATGAGCATGAGCGAGCCGCCGACGAGGCAGTCGACCGTGCCTTCGTTGAGCGTGCGGCCGTCAATGTAGACAAAGCCGCCGTTGTTGTAGTACTGGACGTGGATCTGCGTGAGCTCGTTGCGGAGACCGTCAATGATCGGGAGGTACGCGCCCCAGATACCGCTAAACGCTACGTAGCCGCCCTGGACGTACGGGTGTTCGGGCGCCATCGAGAGGTAGAACGAGTCGCCGATCTTTTGCTTGAGCTGCTTGACGCCGTTGATGAGGTTGTTGATGATCGGGAGACCTTGCGAGACGCCGTTCTCCAAGTCAATGTCGATGCCGTCAAAGCCATACTTTTTCAAAATGTCGTAGGTCGTCGAGACAAAGTTGGCCGTCTCGGTCGCATCGCCCAGCGTCACGGCACCATTTTGGCCGCCGAGCGAGAGCGCAACGATCTTGCCGGACGCTCGCAACACCGCAATGTCAGCAATGAAGGTCGCTTCCGAGCCCGCGCCTGGGTCCAGCGTCAAGCCGACGCTGCCGTTGCCGAGTGCGCTTGCAAACGCCACGAGGATGACGTCCCAGTCGACCGAGATTTGATGCAGTGGGTACGTGCTGCCGGCGGGGTTGGTAAAGTCGTGCCAGTACCCCACAAGCGGGTGGCGACTCAGACTGACGCAGCTCTGGAGCAGAAGCGATATCATCAGAAGGCGGTGCATGCTCTTGTGTTCAAATTGGAGACTGCCCGACAGGCCCTTTTGCCCGAATTGCGACAGCGCTGCAAATGTCGAAACTATGACTTTCACAAAAGGCGATGCGGGACCGTCTAAACACGCACTGGAATTCCTCTCTTCTGAGTCGATTACAAATTGCCCAATGTTAAGGGTCCAATAGAAATATGTTGCCAACGCAAGGTTGGTCTGTGCCAGCTTAGCCGACTCCACCAACACTTGGCATTTTGGGTTAACCCAAAGCGAAGCGCCCGATGTACGCGTTATAGGAGCACGTCTGCAATGCGTGCTCGCACAATCGGTCGACGGCAATCTGCTGGTCGGCTGCTGGGCTGATCGCTTACTATGTACACTATTTACGTACGTTTACGGACGCTAATTGAAAAAAAGATCCATCGCTATGCGAGGATTGCACTTACTGCTGGTGCGTCGCCGTTGCCGTCGGGCGCTAAGAGCGAAGCTGCGTAGGCCGGTCTCTATGTGGCGCTTGTCCAGAGCGAGAATTTGACGGCGGCGGTGCGCTTTCTCTGGCCGCCAACTGGCCACCTGGAGCCGTCGTCGACGCTGCT